TTTTATTAATTGTTAATCTAATAATCAAATAATTTTATCTCATATTTCTATTATTATTTTTTTCATTTTCCTCAATTATTTTTAATTCTTATTTAATCAAATTCATAATTCTTAAAAACTAAAGTTAAAAATTAACAATTATTATTTTAATAAAGAATCAAATCATAGTTATTCTTAATATAGAAGATCTACATGAAGTATTATAAATAGAGAATAGTACTTAACATTTTTTCTTTTTTACATAAGTCTTTAATAACTCTTTCTTCTACAATTGCTTAACTTGCAAATTTTATTTTATGGTTTTTTTCTTATCCTTTCTATCATTTCCAATTTCTTGTCATTTTTTCTCATTACTATTATATTCCTTAACTTGTATTGTAAACTATTTTAATATGTTTATATAAGTACTCAAATCAAAGTTACAAAAAAAAAAAAAAAAAGATTTGAATGAAATTTTAGTACAATTGAATACATATTCCCCAAATATATGTAGCAATAATATTGGATGCAAATACAGTTTAGAAGAAATGTGAAGTAAAATTTATATTTAAAAGGACAAAAAAGTTAATAATAGTAATATTTTCTTACGAAAACACAAATATATATAATATTTTCATATGACTTGATCTCTATCAGATTCATACATTTCTTATTTAATTCAGTGCATGAATCAACATTTTGATTGCTCTAATTAACTTCAATATCATGAGTGAAGTTGTTTCCTTAACAAAAAAAAAAAAAAAATCATCCATTAATAGTTCACAAAGAAAAAAATGTATAAATTTTAAATAAATAAAATTACAAAATTCTTTTAAAAGAATATCATATTTTTTTTATAAAAAATTCATTAAAAAAATAGCAATCCTCATTTTAGACAATAATATACATATTTTGGACAAAGAGGAAAAAGGCACAAGAACATAAAAATACAATATTATAGTTAGTTACAATATGAAACATGGGAAAAAAAATATTTGAAACTCACCATATTAGTAAAAAAAAATTGTAAACATGAAGAGAAGAACATGATATATTGGTTTTTCAAAAAGTGACTAATGATTAGAGGTGGAGAGAAAGATGGAAGGATAAGAAGATGTTATCAAA